CGGCGCTGCCCATGGCGCCGCAGGAACTGCAGCAAGAGCTGCAAAGCATCCGCCGAGATTTGCTGCTGGGCGTTGCTGCTATATTTGAAGAGATACAGGACGACCGCTATTTGCTGCCGGTGCTGCAGCAGCCGCCACAGCCTCCAGTGCAGCAGCAGCAGCAGCAGCAGCAGCAGCAGCAGCAGGCGGCGCAGCAGCAGCGCCAGCGGGACGGGGCTCAGTCGCCGCCGTCTTCTTCCGCGGCTTCGCCGTACAGCGACACCATCAGCAGCAGCAGCAGCAGCAGCAGCACAGCAGCAGCAGCAACTGCTGCTGCTGCTGCAACAGCAGCAGCCCTTGCTGCGTCGGAAGAGCCGACGGGATCTCCCTCCGGCTGCAGCAGCCCGGTGGGCGTCCGCTCTTCGGGAGCAGCAGCCACCGGAGAAGCAGCAGCAGCAGCAGCAGCAGCAGCAGCAGCAGCAGGGGGGCTGGCTTTAGAACTGGAGTATCTGTCGCCCGTGGGCAGAGAAGGCAGCAGCTGGCTTGTTGCAGCAATTGAGGGCCACTTGCTGCTGCTGCGGTCTCACCGCTGCTGCCAAGAAGGAGGCTGGTGGTCCACTGAGTTTCTTTCTCGGCGAGATGTCCGGACCACTGTGCATGCAGATTTGTTTTTGCTGCTGCCTCTTTCGGTGCTTTGTGGGGCGCTGAAGCGCCCCTGCAGCTGCAGCAGCAGCAGCAGCAGCAGCAGCAGCAGCACGGGCAGCAGCAGCACCAGCAGCAAGTGCACCACCAGCGACGCGACCGACGCCGCGGCGTCGCCCGCCGACAGCTCCGACGCAGACCGGCAGCAGCAGCAGCAGCAGCTGCTGCTGCTGCAGCAGCAGCAGCAGCAGCAGCAGGAACAGTGCAGGTGCTCCTGCCCAGCGCACGCCCAACTGGCCGCCGTATTTGAAGAGCAGGAGGGGGAGCTGATGAGCAGCCGCTGCAGCGCAGCAGCAGCAGCAGCAGCAGACGACAACTGCTCGCAGCTCTTCGACTGCAGCAAAAGAGGTGCTGCGCTGCTGCTGCCTGTGGCTTTAAGAGACACAGCAAACGTGTTGTTTTGCCCCTGCAACTTCGTGACGCGGCTGGCGGTGCTGCGGCCGCAGCAGCAGCTGCAGCAGCAGCTGCTGCTGCTGCACCAGCAGCTGCTGGACCCCCTGCTGCCGCTGCTGCCCCTTTCTGTTGCTGCTGATTGGAAAAGAGATAGTGTTAATGGGGGGCCCTTTTTGCTGCCTTCTTCTGAAGTCTCGCGGCTGCGGACTCTGTCTCGAATAGCAGCAACAGCTCCCTGGTGGCACGCGCGGGCGCGGCAGATCTACGAGCAGCAGCAGCAGCAGCAGCAGCAGCAGCTCGCGCTGCTCCCCGCGCAGCAGCAGCAGCAGCAGCAGCAGCAGTACCTGCAGCAGCGAGTCCCCATACAGCCCCTCGTCAAGCGCTGCAGGTACTGCAGCTATTCGGGTCTTGCTGCTGCTGCGGATTTGGTGCAGTCCGTGGAGCAGTCGGTGCTTGCTGCTGCTCATTGCTGCAGCTGCTGCAGCAGCAGCCCCTTCCCGCCCGCCCCCGTCCCGGTGGACCCAACTGCTGCTGCCATTGCTGCTGCTGCAGCAAGCAGCAGCAGACACAGAAAGCCCCTCACTGCAGAGCAGCGCCGGCGGGCGCGTGCTGCTGTTGCTGCTTTCATTACAGCAGAAGAGCGCTGCGAGGCAGCATTTGCTGCTGCAGCAACTGCAGCACAGAGCAGCAGCTGCATGGGCATGCTGCTGCAGCAGCAACACTTGGCGGCCCAGCAGCAGCAACAACTGCTGGTGCAGCAGCAAGCAGCTGCTGCTGCTGCAGCAAGGATGCATGCGTCGGATTTGTCAAGAGCAGCAAGTTCACCTCAGGGAGTTCTCTCGCTGCTGTCATCTTTTGCTGCTCAGCATCAGCTCTCTTCGCTGACTCCGCAGCAGCTGCTTGTGCCTCCGTTTGTGCAGCAGGTGCAGCGCATGCAGCAGCAGCTGCTGCAGATGCAGCAGCGGCTCATAGGCATGCCGCAGCAGCAGCGGCTGCCGCAGCAGCCGCAGCCGCAGCAGCAGCAGCTCCTAATCCAGCAGCAGCAACAAAGATTCCCCCATCAACTCCCGCCATACACCCAAACGCAGCACCAGCAACAGCAGGTGCAGCACCCCCAGCTGCAGCAGCAGCAGCTTCAGCAGCAGCAGCTTCAGCAGCAGCAGCTCCAACAGCAGCAGCTCCAACAGCAGCAGCAGCTGCAACAGCAGCCGTACCAGCAGCAGCGGAATCCCAGACTGCACCCGCAGGAGCAGCAGCACCTGCAGCTGGCTCACCAAGGCGACCACCAGGAGCAGCCACAGCAGCAGCAGCAGCAGCAGCAACAGCCGCAGCAGCAGCAGCAGCAGCAAGTGCTGCAAATGCAGCACTTTCAACAACAGCAGACGCTGCAGCAAGTGCAGCACCAGCAGCAATTGCAGCAGATCTACAGACCGCCGCGGTCTCGCACACTGGACGGCGGCAGCAGCAGCAGCAGCAGCAGCACCGGAGCTGAACAGCGGAGAAGCAGTGGCAGCAGCAACAGCAGCAGCGCAGGGGCCACGTGCTTGGAGAGCTCCTTAGCACCGTTGGATCCTCAGCAGCGGCCGCTGGAGCAGCAGCAGCAGCAGCAGCAGCAGCAGCAGCAGCAGCAGCAGCACCTTCAGCAGCAGGTGCTGCTGCACGGAGAAGAGAGCTTCATGGTGCGGCAGCCAGAAACTGAGAGGCGCAGCAGCCGGCACAGCTACAGCAGAGACAGCAACAGCAGCAACGGCAGCGGCAGCAACGGCAGCAGCAGCAAAGCTGGTGGCAGCAGCGGGGCTGGTCACTCCAGCAGTAGATCTAGGGTCTCACGCACCGCGCAGCAGCAGCAGCAGCAGCAGCAGCAGCAGCAGCAGCAGCAGCAGCAGCAGCAGCAGCAGCAGCAGCAGCAGCAGAAGCCGCCGCAACTGCAGCCACAGCTGCAGCCTCTTCCTCAGCAGCAGCAGCAGCCGCAGCCGCAGCAGCCGCAGCAGCAGCAGCAGCCGCAGCAGCAGCAGCAGCAGCAGCCGCAGCAGCGGACTGCAGCTGCGCAGCCACCTTCACGGCGGTGGTGCGACAGTATCGATGACAGCTGCGACGAATACTATGGCTTTCCACAGGAGCAGCAGCAGCAGCAGCAGCACCAGCAGCAGCACCAGCAGCAGCCGGAGCCACAGCAAGTGCAGCAGCAGCATCTGCAACGGCAACAGGAGCAGCAGCAGGAGCAGCAGCACGAGTCAGTTGCCGCTGGTGTTGGTCATGTTGCCCCAGAGCTGCTCTTTCACAGCAACAGCAGCAGCAACAACGTGAGCAGCAGCAGCAGCAGCAACGGCGACTGCAGCAACCGCAGCAGCAAAGGAAATGGTGTGACTGGTCGTGCAGCGGAGGTGCGCAATAGCAGCAGCAGCCACGGGAGCAGCAACAACCACGGCAGCAGCAGCAGCCACGGCAGCAGCAACAGCCATGGTAGCAGCAGCAGCCACGGCAGCAGCAGCAGCAGCAGCAGCAGCAAGGGTGATGCGTTTGCGGCAGCGGCAACAGCACAAGACAACGAGGCCACCTCTCCGTCAGCAGCAGCAGGAACAACTGCTGCAGCTGCTGCCGCAGACAATGATGCGGCGTCGCCCTCAGCAGCAGCAGCAGCAGCAGCAGCAGCAGCAGCACAAAGGAAGCAACCGAAAGATCGCGTTCCTTTGAAGCACAGAGCTGAGAAGCAGCTATATGTCCCCGGGGCCCTTCGGCGGCAGCGGCAGGAGCAGCAGCAGGGGCCTTCTGCTGCAGCTGCTGCAGAAGCGCCGGTGGCGGCCTCTGCTGCTGACGCCAGCAGCAGCAGCAGCAGCAGCAGCAACGGAAACGGCTGTGCGGCCGCGGGAGACCACAGCAGCACAGCAGGGCCTCTCTTTGCTGCCTCTGCCCCTGCGGCTCCCGTCTCGACAAATGAAGAAGTGCGGGGAGCTGCTGCTGCTGCTGCTGCTGCTGCTGCTTCTGGTCGCCGCCCCGCAGGAGCAGCGGCAGCAGCAACGCTTAAGGACGAAGCCCGCAGCGGCAGCTGCAGCAGCAGCAGCAGCAGCAGGGACAGAGACTCGATGCAGCAGCGGCACTGGCTTGTTGAGCAGGTGCAGTGGCGAGTCTTTCACCGCTTTTCTGCTGCGTCAGCAGCAGCGGGAGCAGCAGCAGCAGCAGCAGCAGCGCCTGTGCCGCCACTCTCGCCAGCAGCTGCAGCAGCAGCAGCAACAGCACCTCTGTCGCCGGCGCTTTCACCCGCAGCAGCAGTGTCGCCTTCTGCTGCTTCTGCTGCTTCTACGGACCGTTCTGGTTTCTCTGCACGACTTGAACATGGAGCAGCAGCAGCAGCAGCAGCTGCTGCTGCTGCTGCCAGTGCAGCTGCAGCGCGAGGTAGACGGGACTCTGCTGCCGAAGGGCGCAGCAGCAAGAGCAGCCACAGCAGAAATGGCAGCAGCAACGCCAGCAGCAATAGCAACCACGCGGGCCCGAACCACAATTTTGCTGCTGCTGCTGACGCTGCGTCAGCAGCAGCAGCAGCAGCAGCAGCAGCAGCACCAGGGAGGCAGCCAATAACACGCCTGCAGTCGAACACAAGTGAAGAAGGCAGCAGGTGGAGCTGCAGCAGTCCCTACAGCAACAGCAACAGCAACGGGCGCAGCAGCAGCAGCAGCAGGAGCGGCAGCAATCTGCCTTCGAGAAGCAGCAAGAGCCGACCTAGCAGCAGCAGCAGCAGCAGCAGCAGCTGCGCAAACAAGGGCCAAGTGAGGCTGCTGCACGTGGCACTTAATGGCATGCGGCGCTGCGATAGAAGCACCCCGAGCCCCACACAGCAGCAGCAGCAGCAGCAGCAGCAGCAGCAGCAACAGCAACAGCAGCAGCTGCTGCGAGAGCCAGCTCTGCACGGTAAGCCTGATGCTTTAAATGACTCAGAAGTTTAGGGCTGCGCACAACAGCAGCAGCAGCAGTTGCTGCTGGTGCTGCTGCTGCTGCTGCTTGTGCTGCTGCTCCTTCCGCTGGCTGCAGCTGAAGGGAAGCCCTCATTTCTGCTGCCGACGCGAGTGAGTGAAGCGGCGGCGCAGCAGCTGCTGCTGCAGGTGCAGCAGCAGCAGCAGCAGCTTTCCCGCTGCTGCAGCTGCCTTTGCAGCTAATGTTAAGTGGAACGATTTGAGCTGCCGCTGTGTCGAGGTGTACATACACCTCAACACCACGTTTCTGCTGCTCGGCAGAAGGCCTGCGGCATGCTTCTCATTTTATACTAAGTAAACTGGCCAATTGCATTTATACTGAGCCAGCAGCAATGCTGCAGCAGCAGCAGCAGCAGCAACAGCTGCTGCGGAAGCAGCTGCTGCAGCAGTAGCCGCTGCAGCGCAACTGCTGCAGCAGCAGTAGCTGCTGCAGCAACAGCTGCAGCAACAGCGGCAGCAGACTGCAGCAGCGGTTCGTGCTTCGGACAGAGGAGCCACGCTAGAAACTAGTTAGCCTAGTGGCGCTGCTGCTGCTGCTTCCAGTTAATGCAGTGCTGCTGCTGCTGCTTCTAGTTAATGTAGGGCTGCTGCTGCTGCTTCCAGTTAATGCAGTGCTGCTGCTGCTGCTTCTAGTTAATGTAGGGCTGCTGCTGCTGCTGCTAGCTTACGTAGTGCTGCTGCTGCTAGCTTACGTCGTGCTGCTGCTAGTTTTGCTGTTGTACTAGGGACTTTTGTGCTGCTGTTGCTGTCGCTAGTTGTTACTACTGCAGCAGCTGCTGCTGCTGCTGCTAGTGTGTCAGCTGCAGAAGCAGCACGAGTGGCAGCAAACAAAGAAGCACTTCGCAGTCTAAATGATTCAGTCGCAGCAGCAGCATCAGCTGCTGCTGCTGCTGCAAACGGCGTTGCTGCATACGAGATACATAAGATGTCCCTAGTCACATTCGCTACAGCAGCGGCAGCAGCAGCAGCTGCTGCAGCAGCAGCTGCTGCTGCTTAGCCATTGAAACGCGTAGATGGTGCTGTGCTGCAGGAGCACGAGCGGCGGCAGCACTTGCTGCGGCGAGCGCTGCTGCGGCAGCTGCAGCAGCAACTTCAGCGGCAGCAAGAGCAGCAGCAGCAGAAGCCATAACAGCTTCACTTGCTGTTGCTGCTGCTCCTCTAGGGAGGGTGAAGCGGGGCTTCTCCATCGCCCACTGATATCTGCAGCAAAGACCGAACGACTGCAGCAGCAGCACCAGCAACAACAGCAGCAGCAATTATTGCGGGAGCAGCAGCAGCAGCAACAGCAGCAGCAGCCAAGCGCAACGTCCCTCCAGCAGCACCAGCTCCCAGCAGCAACCGCAGAGAAAACGGCCCCACGCTTCAGCTGCAGCAACGGCAGCAGCAGCAAAATCAACAGCAGCAGCAGCAAGAACAGCAGCAGCAGCAGCAGCAGCAGCCACTTGCCTTGTCTGCAAATGGGGCACTTGTTCGTCTGCAGCCTCATAATGCCGGCGCACTGAAGAGACACCAAATCGAAAAGTTGCTGCTGCTGCTGAGGTGTACGTACACCCCAGGGAAAAGCTGCTGCTGCTCTTGAGGTGTACGTACACCCCAGAGTCTAGCTGCTGCCGCTTGTGAGGTGTACGCGGAGCGGCGAAGACGACAGCAGAGAAGAAAAGGGGAAAAAGGAGATAAAAGAAAGAGAAAAAGATCAAAAAGAAGCAGAAAGAAAAGAAAAAAGAATATAAAAGATTAAAAAGGATAAAAAGAAGATTTAAAAAAAGAAAAAGGAACAAAAAAGACCAAAAGAGCTCCGAAAGAAGAAACGAAGAAGCAGAAAGAGCCCGCGAAAGCCAACAAGAGAAAGAGATAAAAGGAGGCAAAAGGGAAGCAACAAAAAGGAATAAAATAAATAAAATAAATGAAATAATAAAACAAATAAAATAAATAAATAAAATAAATAAAATAAATAAAAATAAAAATAAAATAAATAGAAAGTGCTGCTGCCTCACCTCGCTGCAAAGGCACATGTGGCGACACGGCAAAACTGCTGTTGTCCTTTCCTCCGCCAAACAGATCACGCACTCCCTGCAGCCGCACGCAGCCACAAACTGCTGCTGCTGCTGCTGCTGCTGCTGCTGCTGCTGCTGCTGCTGCTGCTGCTGCGGTGGCTGCTGCTGCGGTGGCGAAGGTGGGCGAAGGGCAGCAGCAATGCGGGATGTGCGGGAATGAAAACAGCAGCAGCGCGGAAGAAAAGAGCAGCAACAGCAGCAGCAGCGAAAGCAGCAGCAGCAGCAGAAGCAGCAGCACGGCCTCTCACCTCCCAGAAAGATTCTCTTCCCCTGAACTTAAACGCGTAGGAGCAGCAGTTGCTGCTGCGTCTCCTGCTGCTGCTGCTGCTGCTCCGTTAGTGAGCTCTGTGGTGGCCTGGCGCCGACGGCCAAACCCTGGGCCGCCATCAATACCGAATATCTCCTGTGCGCAGCAGCAGCAGCAGCAGCAGCAGCAGCAGCTGTTGCAGTAGCTGCAGCAGCAGCTGTTGCAGTAACTGCAGCAGCAGTAGTAGCTGCGGCAGCTGCAGTAGCTGCAGCAGCTGCAGTAAATGCAGTAGCTGCAGCAGCTTAAGTAGCTGCAGCAGTAGCAGCTGCGGCAGCACAACAATGACAGCAGGAGCTGCAGCAACAGCTGCAGCAGCAGCAACAGGAGGCTGCTGCTGCAGCAACAGCAGCAGGCATCCTTACTTGGACCTCAAAGGAACGCGATCCCAGCTCCACTCTTTGCTTGAGGACACAGAGGCGCCACATAGTGGCCACAGGGTCATGGGCTGCAGCAACTGCTGCTGCTGCTGCTGCTGCTGCAGTTATGCTGCTGCTGCGGCTGGGCGATTCAGTCTCGTCTGGCCCTTGCTGCTGCGATTTAGGACTTGTGCTGCTGTGGGGTGACTCCTGCAGGACAAAGGCCACACTGGTCAGCTGCTGCCGCACCCCTTCTGCTGCTGCTGCTGCCACTGCTGTTGCTCTGAGTCCCCCCTCTGTCGCTGCTGCTGCTGCTGCTGCTGCTGGAGCAGCAGCTGCTGCTTCAGCTGTTTCCTCTGGAGAAACAGCTCGCTGCGAAACAGCGCACAGACGCACGCATTGAGAAATGCAGCAGCAGAAGCAGCAGCAGCAGCAGACGGATCGGCAGAAGGCGGCGCAGCAACAGCTTCAGGCATCGAAGCAGCAGCAGCAGCAGCAGCAGCAGCAGCAGCAGCTCACCAGGCGTATCAGCAAGTCGCAGTCTTCTTCTTGCTGCTGCGCCGGCCCTTTGGCCCTCAGGAATTCAAGGCAATCCGAAGCCAACGGCGACTCTGCAGCAGCACGCAAGCAGATCTCAAAATTATACTGCAGCAGCAACAGCAGCAGCAGCAGCAGCAGCTGCTGCTGCTGCTGCTGCAACAGCAGCACTCGTGAAGGGTCACTAGCTGGTTCTATTCCATATCGCAGTAACAAACATCGCATCTGCTGCAGTTAGCTGGGTGCTGGGGCAGCAGCAACAGGGAAGAGAAGCAGCAGCAGCAGCAGCAGCAGCAGCAGCAGCAGCAGCAGCAGCAAACCTTGTGGAGCAGCTTCGTATAGCTGCTGCAGGCCTGCGCCGAACCTTCTTGGCGGCGAAGCAAACATGCAAGGGGGCTCATTGCTGCACAAGCAGCAGCAGCAGGAGAGCAGCAGCAGCAGCAGCAGCAGACGTCGAAAATATACAAACTTCAGCAGCAATCAAAGACCAATCAAAGACACAACGCAGCAGCAGCCGCAGCGGTTAGCGTGCTGCTGCTGCTGCCAGAAGCAGCTAAGCAGCAGCAGCAGCGACGCTACGAGCGGTAGGGCGAAGTCAGCAGCAACTCAATGGCAGCAGCAGCAGCAGCAGCAGCAGCAACTACGCAAACACCAGCAGCAGCAGCAGCAGCAGAATTGGCAACAACAGCAGCAATAGCAGCAGAAACAATAGCAGCAAAGCCACCGACAGGGCTTGCCAGGCAGCAGCAGCACCAAAATAACACTACCAGCAGCAGCGCAAGCAGCAGCAGCAGCGCAAGCAGCAGCAGCAGCAGCAGCAGTAGCAGCAGCAGCAGCAGCAGCAGCAGCAGCAGGTCCTACGAATACTGGGGGTCTGGCTGCCTGGGAAAAAAGAAAAGAGAGACATCGAGGGGACACAAACTGTCGAAGCGGAAGGAGACGCAGACGCGGCTGTCTTGCTGCAGCGCAGCAGCAAACAAGCCAGTTGGAGAAGTTGTTTTTGAAAATAATAAATGAGTTAATTTAATTTAATTAATTTAATTAATTTAATTAGTTTAATTAATTTAATTAATTAAATAAAATTAAGAAACAGCAGCAAAGTGAGCTGCTGAAGTGACGCGAAGCACGCGGGCTTAAACGAACAGCAGCGACGCGCTGCTAGCAGCAGCAGCAGCAGCAACAGCAGCAGCAACAGCAGCAGCAGCTGCTGCCAGCGCGAACGGCTGCAGCAGCAACAGAAGCGCACCTGCAGATGCAGCAGTGGCAAGAGCAGCAGAAACAGCAGCAGCAATGGCGCCAGCAAGGGCAGCAGCCAGCAGCAGCAGCAGCAACAGCAGCAGCAGCAGCAGCAGCAGCAGCAGCAGCAGCAGCAGCAACTTACAATACTTGCTGCAAGCGAGGACTTGATAAGGTTAACCGGATTTCGGACAATAAATGTCTTCTGTACAGACAGCTGAGGCAAAGGCGGCTGCTGCGACTCTGGCCCTGTCATGCCGCCCTGCAGAAACACCACAAAGCTGCTGCTGCTGCTGCTGCTGCTGCTGCTGCTGCTGCTGCTGCTGCACTGGGGAGCATGCGTGCGGCAGCAGCCGACAGAAATAAGCAGCATCGGCAGCAACGCCCACAGCTGCAGCAACAGCTGCAGCAGCAGAGCAGCAGCCAAAGCAAGGCCGGTAGCAGACGCAACAGCAGCAACTACAGCAG